CACACACACACACACACACACACACACACACACACACACACAAACGCACATACACACAAACTGTTGAGATAATAACAGAGACAATTCAGCCTGACTGAGAAGCAAAGCTGATCCTTTGCAAACCTCCCCCTCCTTTTTTTTTGGTCTTTTTGAGAGTGCTATCTGTGCTTTGGGGTTTGAAACTTGACAATTTATCTTTGGGAAGGATTTTAAGCATAAGGGTGGCAGAGATCCTTAGTACTTGAATCAATGAGATTATGCAAAAAATTGAGTTTACTATTCTCCAGGGAAATTTTTATGCTGTAATGGCTGGTTAATTTTTCCTCAAATTTTATTTACTGATACTTTTCCTCTCTAACTATATAAGTATTATAATTGTTTCCTAAAAATGATGGAGAAAGTAGGAGGAAAAGAAATAAAGAAGGGAAGGTAACATGTGAAAGAGAAGACATAAGAGACAATGTCACAGTTGGATAGAAGCAGGTAAATAAATGGGATAAAATAAAGTAATTCTGAACAGAGCACACAACCTGAATTGTAATATTTTAAAATTTTGACTCTTCTATTTCAGTATTTGCCACAGCCAAATAAGTACGTGGAACCCAGTGAACTCTACAGCTCCTTTAATATTTTATTTCTCTAGTAGTAAAAGTGGAAGTGAATGTGAAGAAAAATGTGATCTTTAGATTACTTTTTGACAAGTGTCCAGTGTGCTGTATCCACTTCTAATTTCAAGAATGTCTGAACATCTCATAAATCAAAGAATAGCAAAAACTTTTGAATATTTTGAACATCACTTGCTCAATATAAATATTGTCTTCTTTATTATTAAAGTACTTATCTTACTATACTTGTTACTGTCTCTGTCTAGTCCTTCTAACACTTTGATGTAGGAAAGAAGAATGCAGTATAAACCCACGCTATTTAATTTTGTTTTGAGAGAGCACTGAGTTACATTTGATGATAAAGGTGTTGGTGCTTTCTGTTAAATTTCATTCACATATTTGCAATGAATCCAGGTGTAGTTTCCCACCTGCTGAACTTAGTTTTTCCTGTGTAAACCTGTCTTCTCCATATTTATATAACTGGAAATAATTTGAACAGACTGAAAATATTAATTTGACTATGGAGACTAAATATTTAAAGTGATAGGTTGAAAATATTAATTTGACTATGTGTACTAAATAAACTTTTTTTAAAGTCACACTCCTGCACGGTGACTGTGTAAAACCAGGAAGTTACACCCAAATATTAGATCTATCATGCATCAATCTCCCCACATAAATCTAAATTCTGTTCTCAGATTCCTCAAATTTATGATACATTCTATTCTTGGATATGCATGGAATATTCCTCAATAGTCAATTCTCTACTTACTTTTAGGTGGAAACTTTCCATGTGGAAACTTAGTAATCTGCTTTAAAAAAGGAAAATGTGTAAAGCCCAGACAAATTTACAGTACCACCCTGAGCTTTCCAAAGTCCATGCTAATCCTAATCACGGCATTAAGCATTTCTTCTTTCATCCCAATTGTAAATCCCCACAAAAAGCAATTTAAAGAAGGAAGAATTAATTTTGATTAGGGGTTTGAGGACCCACTTCATCTACAGCAGTAGGCATGTGAGTTTATTTCCTCACCCGCCCCTTCCTGGACCAGGAAACGGAGAGGGCAGGAAAAAGGTGGGACATAAACCTCCCTTTCAAAGATCCACTTCCTTCAGTAAGACTTCACCCTGCAAATGTTCCACAACCTTCCAAAACAGAATGACCAGCTGGGGACTAAGTGGGAGACACATAGCCAGTGCATTAGCAGCATAAATGAGCAAGAGAAAGGAAAGTTTATTAAAATAAAATTATTTGACCTTCTAAATTGGGGAGAAGTGCAAAAATAATGAATTTTATCAGCAAGGCTCTTTGAATTTTTCATCAATCTTGCAGTTTGACAGAACCAATATTAAATTTGAGGGTTAGAGGGGAAAGAGCACCAGAAAATAGAGCATATTAGAATACTACTCAAGGGATAAAATAAAGAGATCTTACTATGGAAGGATGTGAGTAGGAAAGTCAGCAGATAAGTCGGTAGAAGCCACGTGTATAGAACGGCTGGTAACAAGGTGAATAGAAAACGCTAGAAGGAAAAGAGATGGGTTTGCAGAAACCAGATTCCTAATATCGGGCAGGAAAGCTATGAACTCCATAATTCAGTGATCTGAAGCCACTTGATCCACAGTCCCCTGAGAAGCAGCTTCTAGATCTGTAGCCTCCCGAACCGCAGCTGTTAGATCCAAAGTCCAGAGATCCAGCATAAGTCGGTTGGCAGGGACTGCACGGTGTGGAGCTCCTCGGGGAGGAGCAGTTGGTCTGGCAGGGTCTGGACACGACACAGGACTTCTGGCAGCTGGTGGAATCATCACGGGTCTCCTGACAGCTGCGGTAGACAGAGGAGCCCAGCTGGCAGGCGGTGGGCCTGCAGCTGTTAGTGCTGTACACAAGGTTGCTGGGGTAGGAGGAGCCACTGGATGAACGTGAAGCAGACCGGTAGCACCTAAGAGACTGGGAGGAGAAGTTTCCAGAGCAGCAGTTGTAGGACATGTTGAAAGGAGATGTAGGCTCAGCTGGATGTAACTGAGGAGATTCTGAGTTTTAATGTCACCTGTGGACAGATAGGTTTATATACTCTCAGCAATAGGTGTGGTACCCAGCAGGGTCATCCTTGGCATCTTTGTATGCTTCCTCCTTTACAAATGTGCAACTCACTAATCTCTCTGTAATTGCAGTTGCAATTGAATAGTTTTCTGCACAGTGTATTTATGGGTGTTGTAATTTTCCTGGAACAAATGCCAATAAGCTACTCCTATTTGAAAAACGCTGTGACTGTTTTGAATTATGCCCATCCCATCATGGCTAGGGAAGGCTTTCCCATTGCTCTATGTTACCAGCCTCAGCTTCTTGGATGTGCAGATCTGTATTTTCTGGTGGGTGATTGTTCCTATAGCTGGAGAGTGAGATGGCATTATCATCTGGTGACTGGATGAGTTAAACGAAGGATTAGAGCCTTCATTTAAATGATCTACATTCTCACCTTTCATTGCTATTCTGAAAATTACTTTACAGCAATTTAATGTAAAAGTATCAGAAAACAATTAAACACTACACTTAGCCAGTGTCTCATATTCAATGGAGTCAGATTCAAAACTTGAAACAAAAAGAAAAACACAGGGATGATTAAAAATTGAGAGGATATTATGTATTTGAAGGTATTAACAAATGACATATGTTCTCCCTCATTTGTGGCTCCTAGCACCAAATCCTTTTAAATCCATGGTCCTTTTAATAAGATGATGCTATACAGCAGTCCCTTCTGTGTGAAATAACTACCATCATCATGACTTTGGCTGAGCCTGATTGCTAAACATGGTCACACCTGGCCTTGTTGATGGTTGTGCTCATTCATTAAAGAAGTGCCAAGCAGGGTCCCTGGCCCCTCACCTGAGTATCTAGCCACTCTTCCCAGCCAACTAGTCCAGCCTTGGAAGACAAAAGAAAAATGAGGAAGATCCCAATAGAGGGATGCTGCTGGAAGCCCTTGTCAAGAAACTCCAATGGACTCTCATATGAACATTTGAAAATTGTCCTGTTCTGAGTTTTTTCTAGTTCCCTGCCTAGAACTTGTAATGCTAACTATTCTAGCCTTTACTTCTCCTTCACATCTCCTATTCACGATTCAAGGACTTTCTTTTCCCCTTAGAGACAAGTTATGCAATTTGGGTGTCTTTTAGATAGACCCACTAAAGGGGTACCTCAATAGCCTCACCCTGCATCCCTGTTTAGCACGGAAGAAGCCAGAGCAGTCTGCGTTCTATTCCCTATTGGCAATTTGGGTAACCCCTTCAGAGGATGGTGTGATAAGAACAGGAGGTAGGAATTGACTAGGCAGTTAGGGTGAAAAGACCCCAAAGAAATGTAGCCAGTTTCTTGGTGAAAAGTCAAAATGTCCTTGGGCCTGTTAACAACATACTCTGTTCCAAAGGCCAAAAATGTCAAAAATATTTGGCAGCTTATATCTAATCGTTAAATGATTTTAGGGTTACCTCTTCAGAGGAGGGGGTGTTGGAGGGGAGGGAGTGGGCATGGATTTGATCAAAACACCTTATACGCATGTATGAAATTCTCAATAAAGTTTTTGTAGAAGTTAAAAAAAAGAGAGCGTAGAATGAGGAAAGAAAGATACACAATACTAAGATTGACTAAAAATCACATAGGGAAATGTATTATTGTGTAAGCCTACTTAAAAATATACACACCTATGTGAATGCATGTATATAGCTGAAGGGTATCTAACAAAAAGCACAGTACCAGGCAATGAAAATTCCCTTTGAGATGTTGGTCATGGTAGTCCAAGACACTCCTGAAATAATATAGTCTATTGCCATAGTACTTTATTGGTTCCCAGAAGTTGAAGGTAAGACCCTATTGCAGAAGACTCCCACATACTTCAAACACAAGACTTGGAGTAATTGAGCTGGAACTGACCTGGAAGCTTCTTCCCTGAAGACTAGCTTTTAAATATCAGAAAGTGCTATGCAAGCTGCCAGTGGAGAAAACCAATAAGTGGTCCTACCCAGCTATAAAGCCTGTGAATCCCAATAATGCCTGACCTGACAAGATAGCCCCAATGGTGTGAAGTGGTCCTTTTATATTGGGGTTAATCAACAGCTGTGTAATTGGACTTAAGGCATGCTCAATAGGAGGGAATCCAAGCATAGCACCATAAACATAGCCAAGTACCCACGGTTGGAAATTAAAATTAAAATTGGAAAGTAAAAAGATGTAATGTCACTTTGTCACTGACCCTAAAGAAGAACTTACTACTGCTGCTTTCCTAAACTAATTTAATTTCTAGCTATATTCTAAATATTTATATTTATATCCACAAACAACTATAGAACTCACCACTCATCAAAGAAGCTTCTTTTTGCAACATATGGAGACTATTAAAGGGACCTATAATAGGTCAAAATACAGAGAATAAGTGACTTTGAGGTGCCCTTCCCTAAGTGACACATCTACAATATAACCTGTGCAATCTAAAGCACAAGGAACATCACAGAAGACAGGTAGAAAGATTGTAAGAGCCAGAGGAGAAGCCTGCCTGCTGCTAGGTTGTATATCATATACATAATAGGGAAGCTGCACCCATGAGGTCTCCACAGTGTATTTTCCTAACAAGACCCCACAATAACAAACCGGTAGACATGGCAGTGTGGACGGGAAAATGACACAGTGCCCCACCTCTGAATGAACAGCTATGGGCAGTCAATGAATTCCGAGGGAGGGAGAATTAGCTTTCTCTAGGAACATGGTCCCTGGTAGGTTGTCTAATCCCAAGTGGTCAGCCCTAGACACATGTACACAGGGACATCACCAAATGGACTAGTGCATTATAT